TTGGCGGCCCACGCGGACATCTCTTCATGCGTCGGCGCACAGGGCGCTGCGTTGTGCTTTGCGTGAAACCGCTGCACAGCTTTTGCCAGGGTGGAATCAGAGAGCCTCTTGTCTCCAAAGGCGCAAAGTGCTCCAATAGCCACCTGGCAAGCGCATCACAGGCACAAGGCTGAAAGCAGACATGCGTGCCTCTGGGTTGCACTCTACATCCTTCAAGGCTGTGGCGCCATCCCAGAAGCCCTTGCTGTGCGGCACGATGAAGCTCGCGCCGGCCTGGCTTTAAATCGCATGAAGTTTCAGTCTGTGAGTTGAGCCGGCCTCTCGCAGACGTGGGAAACGCGACCACTCCTGCACGACTGTGTCGATCAGGTCCGGGCACCTCTTGGACTGGGTTTCCTTCGGCATAGGTCCACGCAAGCTTCAGGCCCTAGCGGAGCTGGCAGTGTGGCCGAAATGGCTGCGAAGACTAATGTCGAGCAAGGGCGGGAGAACGTGTCGCAAGTGCAAATTGTTTCCTGCGATCTCCGGCCTCCCCAGCCTAGAGTCCTACAGTGGCCACATCACATGAAGCGGCGCTTCTTCAGCTCGGCCTCTGGCAAGGTTGCCAGAAGTGCTGCGCGCTCGGCGCTCAGCATCCACTGCTTGGAAGCATCCTTAAACTTCAAGGTAGGGCTTTGAGCTTGCAGCTTGCGGATGTGCTGCACGCGGAGCTGATTGAAGTTCCCAGCCTTGTACGCCTGCGACCATGTCTTGCGCCCCCCAAACGTGTGAGCGCAACTGCCTGCTCAGTCTCTGGTGCAGCTGGCTCTGCAGGTGGAGTGGGTGCCGCGACTACCTCCGGCTTGGGCTGTTGGAGTGAAGGCTGTGTGGGCGGAGAGGCCGCAGAAGCAGACAAGGAGGCCAAGGTCTCAAGCACCTGGAATATGGTTGCAGACAAGCATATGTTCGAGACTAAACAAAAACTGAGGAAGGGACGTAGGCCGGGACTTGCTTCTGGGCAGCGTCCAGCTTGGGAGCTACTGGGCTGGGCTTCTGCACTGCCGCGGCAACAGCGCCCTCCAAAGAGCCCCAGTCAAACAGGTCGCCTGCCGCCTGCATGAAATCAGCACCTGTGTGGGGGCATCCGGACAAGATCGCAAGTGGCCGAAGAGGGTTGCTCCGAGCCAAAGTCTTAAGCTCAGAAACCTCTGTGTTGTAAGAGCCCGAGTTTCTCAAGAGCTTAAGCCCCTTGGCGTGCAAAGCTTTGAGTGCGAACGCCGTGCGGTCCACATAACTGGCCAGCGAGTCTTGAGAGACTCCTCCAGGTGTGCGGCCTGGTAACTTGTACAAAGCAGCCAAGCTGGCAGCAATGATACTTACTGTCAGGAACTTGGGGCAGTCCAGCTGGAGCAGTGGCAGGACTGCCTTGCCGCGACTCGGCTCGCTGCACAAAAAAAAGCAAAAATCACACGCCTCTTTATTGCGGACGACATCCTCCGTGGTCGCAACCCCGGAGTACAAAGTCTGGGAGTGAGGCGCTACGAAGTGGAAGCCGACCTGACAGAGGAGCCACAGGCGCCCAACTCATCTGTAAAGATGCGCCTCTGCCAGCGGCTTCGAGGCCGCCCATCGATCGCAGATGGCCGTGGCAATGTGCTCCGCGCGTGACCTCAGGCATGACACAAAAACTACGAGCAGCTTAATTTTGGATTTGTCTCGCTCAACTGTGTTAAGTGTAAGAAGACTAAACAAACAAAGTGTGCATCTTAGTGAACACAGTTACAACTTAATCAACTGAGTCTCTCTTAATCTAGTTAAGCCTTAAAAATTGCAGGCCACAGCTAACACGTGTTCAAACTAGTGATAGCACACTTAAGTTAATGAAGGTCAAACAAGCCAAACTGTTCACTCAATTTAATCTAATTTTTTTGACGGGCATATGTCCGTCTTAAAGGAATGAAACTCGAAGCAGCGCATGGCTAGCTAAGCGTTAAGCGCTCGACTAAGTAAAGATCACTTAACGTAAATAAGTCTACACAAAACTATGTTTAAAGGAAGGGCCAAACAAACGCCTGCGGCCAGGCGTTTGTTTGCCCCTTCCTGGCTCTTACAGCTGAGGGCGGCGCAGCTGAGGTCCGGACATCTTGTCGAAAACCTGGGCGGGCGAGAGCGGAGAAACAGACACACAGTTGCACTGGCGCAGCTGAAGCGCTCAAACAGCTCGGGCTCACGAGTTTTTCCCGTCAAGCCCGCAGTGCCCTCCTAGAGCGGACGGCCTACTGCTTGCCCCCGCTCATCCACGAAAACCCGCCTGCGACAAGACGCAAAAAAGGCCGCACGCTTTTTCGCCTGCGAGCCTCCGTGCGTCCCAGTAGAACACTGGGCGCCTTGGCAACGGTCGAGGTACCCGCGGCCTGGCAGCGCGACGAGGCAGGCCCTGCGTGGTGGTTTAAGCCCGCCTCCACCCAGGCGGGGCAACTCCACCACGTACGCGAGCAGGCAAGGGCACAGGCGCCCTCATAGGCCGGACTGGTTGTGGCTGAGGCGGCTGAGGCGGGCGCGCATCCGGTTCAGGCGGCGCAGTTGGAGAGACCACCTTGGCTGGCTCCTTAGCTGGCTCCTGGGCATGGGCTCGGCCTCGCCTCAGCCCATCCGTCATCCACTTCGGCCTGCAGGAAACAAGTGCAGGCAAGCAGACGCCGTTTGAGCTGCTTGCCTTGCAGTTCGGAGCTGCTCCTCCTGCTTCGTCTTGGCGGGCGGGCGGGCCTTTGAAGGCACTTGGCCAGCTGGCGCGCGGAAGAGCGCAGAGTGGGGGAGGTGTCCTCCGCCCTTTCCGCCTGCGGGGGCGGAGGCGGCCTCCGCAGCCCCTGCAGGCTCTGCGCTGGCCACTTCAAGCGGGGCAGGCTCTGGTTCGTCTCCGGTGTCCTGCGCCGCGACTAGAAAAAAAGCACGTGTGTATAAATGTTGCACAGACACTGACTGACACTCGTCCTCCTCTTCGTGCGCCCGCTTTCTGCCAGGCATGGTGGCACTAAACGGCTGCGGACGCCAACGACAACACACGTGCGTGCAGCAAACTTGAATCCGTAACGCGTACAAGCTCACGCACACAAACACAAATGTATGCTTGACGCAGAGCAATATCGGAAAAAAGATACACGCCTGAGCTTCCGACCTGCTGGCCGAGCCAGTCCTGGCAACGCATAGTGAAAACATATGTATGTATATGTGTGTGTGTGTGTCCGACAGTGTGCGTACGTGTGTATGCATGTGTATATATTGTCTACTTTAGGAAAAAACAGTGGCAGCTCGACAAACACGGCCGCGCGCGCCTTCGGAGCGCGCCCCGGATGCCGCAAACCCGTAAAAAGCTCGCGGGAGCGGCAAAGGTGTGTTCACGAACAACTGGCTGCAACGCTACGAGAAAGCTGATTTGAGGATGAAAAAGAGGTCTCATTTGTGCATTGCTCAAATGTGGACGCGTGTCCCAAAATATCTCTAAGACCGTGCAAAATGGTTCCGTCAGCACCTTCATTTTCCTGCCCGGGGGGGTTAAGTTAAATATGCAGGGGGTTAGCTCAAATTGAAAAGTAATTAAGTTAAAACCCAGAACAGCCCATTTAAGTTAAATTTGGGCTGTTCGCGGTGTTCAGGATGGCTTCTGATAAGATTTAAACTTCTTGCATTGTTGATGCAAACAGTTGTGGCCTAGTGCCGTCATGTGGACTCTTTCACGAGGTGTGTTGGACAGCGTTACCCCGATTAATTCGGGGTGGTGGCGGGAATTTAATGCCCGGGATGTCGCGCAACTGCCTTTGTGGGTTTGCTCCACCGCTGACGGCGGTAGTGTCCAGCTGTTTGCGGATACATGCGAGCGGTTAAATCCTATCAGTAAATGGCACGCTCCGCCCGTCATATGACGGACTCCTCGTGAGGGGGGTGTGATTAGCCATGCATTTCAGGTGACTACCGGCATGTTGCGATAGCAACTATCCGGTGCCACTTTGGCTCAAGTTTTGGGTTCCGTCGCGCCTCGAATGGGCGTCGCCGAACCCCTGCGTCGACCGACGGCATCTCGGGGGAGAAAGAGACCTCGGGCCGCCGCCAGGTTGGTAGGGACCAGTCGTGCGGCCTGTTGTCGACCAAGGTTGCGGGTTAACCCTTTTCTTGTTTGGTTTGTTTTCCTTTGGTTGTTGTTCTCTGGTGTGTGGGAAACCCTGATCTTTGGGACCGGGGATTGGTTTGCTTTTGGGGAACCTTTCTTTTGTGGCTTGTTTACCCCAACTTACCCATTGCCTGGGCACAGGCTCGTGCCCGAATCACAGATTCCAATTTGCTTTGATATTCGATTCCAACACTCAACCCTGCCCAGAGGATCATTTGTGCAACGCTGGCAAGGACGTTCTGATTGTGCATGGGGGCTTGGAGAAATTAAGTGTCACAGCAAGGGAATAATTCACCATGAACCATGCCCTTGAGAGATCGCCGAATCCTGCCCAGAAAGCCAACCAGCAGTCTTCATGCCGAGAAGCCAACAGAGGATGGGGATTTCTCGTTGGTTTTTTCCAGCCCCCGTTTTGGCTCGCCCAACATGAGACACAAATAACCATTCCAATTCCCGAATCTCACACTGCTTTGACCCCGCAGAAAGGTAGAAGTGAGACACCTTTCAAGAGGATCCGATGAGGCAAGGTAAGGGAACGCCATTCTGCTGGGTCCCGGATACCTGCAATAGTGATGACTCGTGGAAAACTGGACTCTTCATGCGTGTGTGTGTGAGTTTGTGAGGCTGGGTACCCTTGTCCGGTCGGTTTACAGAGAAACCAACAAGGCATCACCCATTTGTGGGGTCCAAGGCCACATTGACTCATACCCATGTTATTTCACAACTTTTTGCTTTTTGTTTTTTGGTTTCCCTTCATTTCCCCCTTTCAGCCGCCTAGAAGTTGACTTGTTGCAGGCCCTCCCGTTGCGCCTCCCTTTTGTGCGCTTTGTCTCTCGCTTGCGCTGCGCGTGCTCAGTTGGCGGGATGACTCCCTCCAGCCTCCCGATCTATTCGGAGCCCAAAGAGTATTCCGAGTCTCGGCCGGACAACCTGGGTCCAAGATGCTGTCCACTGCCCACACTATCCCTGGTACTGGAATTTCTGAGGTTTCGGTGGCACTGGAAGCAAGGGCAGAGCACTTCGGTGGTTCCCTCCAGGCTCAAGGTCGCGTGCTTTGTTGTTTGGTTAGAAAGCAGCTGGGCAGCTAGTCAGAACCTCGACCTCTTGGTTTAGCTTCCTCGCTTGTTGATCTGCTTGTTGCCCTGGCCTAAACTCGGCGGTCCCCAGCAAATCGTCGGGTTTTGGGTTTTGGTTGGTTAAGTCCTTGGGTTTCCATACGCAGAAGTTGTTCACCTTCGGCAGGGGATCAGAAAGCGACTAAGAAATCGATGCTGTCTCTCAAGTCCAGCCCTTTTGTTCATTCAAATGAACTCGAACTCGAGGTGCAGCCCCCGAACAAACATGAAACTGCACATGCTTGTTGCCAAAAGGAAGGTACGACTTCTGAAACACGCATGTGCATGTCTTGGTCAGAGAGTAATATTGACCAACTAATGAACCCTTAATTTTTGGAAGGAAAAGGGGACACCCCAGAGTTTCAAGCAGTAGATCCGGCGCAGGTGCACCGACCTAGCTTCCCTTTGTCGTTTCCCCGAGAACCAATTCCAGGGTCGCCTCAAGAAAGGCCCAGATCAACTTGCAGGCGTGGGATGTAATTTCTTACATCCCAGCGCCCTCCCCGAAGAAAGACCATATTGGTTTGGACTATATATATAAAAATACACGTCCACGGTTCTCGCGAAATATATGGGGTCGCACAATTGCTTAAGGCACTTCTCAGGATTTGTCAATGGGAGGCAGAATTACACTTGCCATTTGCAGTTTGAGTTTGCAAGTAAAAGCGGGGCAGTTTATGTGTGCCTTTGCAGGGTACCCTTTGGACCTGCTCAAGGGGACCGTCGGGGGGGGGGGGGGATAATTGGAAGCCCGGATCCAAGTAGAACCCGTAACACCCCCTATAATTCTACCAGCGTAGACCCCAGACAGATTGGCAGGCAAGCCTGGCAACACCATCACTCGAGCTCTATGTGATTTTTTTTAAACAAAGTTTGCATACTGAACAGCTCCAAACGGAAACCTCTTCCAATAACACACTCTTGTGCGCCGACGGTGCACGCACTTATGCGCCATCAATGAACACTCTTGTGCTCCGACAATGAGCATGCTTATGCCCCAACAATAAAATGCACGCCGACGATGAACATTTTTCCGCGGAGACCGTGACCGCGCTTATGAGCTTCTGACGCTTGTGCACCAGCCATGAACATGTTTGCTTTCCGACGCCGACTGTGACCCATGAACACTTTTGTTCGCCGACAGTGAACCCGGTTACTCGCCAATCATGAACACTTTTGTGTGTGACGACCGTGACACACCCGTGTGCCAACAACGATCACCTTTTGCGCGCCGACCATGAGCATGTTTGCACGCAGTGAGTGAGCACGCTTGTGCGCCACGAAAAAACAGGTTTGCGCGCCGATGAACACGTTGCACCATGCACTGCGCCAACACATGGCGCAGACAAGTAACTGCGCAAGCTGGCGATGCGGCCCGGCGACCTGGAAGGGTCAGACGACTCGTTCGTCTTATGGGGGACTTCCAACCGAAATGGGAAAGCACTCTTTCCCCCTGGGTCTGGCTCGGTTCCGAGCCCCAAAGCAATTGATCTCTCTGAAACGCCAAAACGGCGGCACGCGAATTGTGGCTATGATGTTTAATCAGGAACCACCTGAAGAGTCGATGGTGGACATGAATCCCGTAAACGATGTCCACCAAAGGGTCCTCGCCGATACCTGCTTATCTGAGGACGCTGGCCAGTATTTGGAGTACAAGGAGGACGAACCAGATCAGGAGATTCTGATTTCTGAAGAGGCGCTGGAAGTGTCGGGGTGCTAAAAGCCGTGGAACCAAGGGAACCACCCTTTATCCCAAAGGAAAATGGCTGGTTACCAATTGTAGGACGATAAGGACGAAAGAGCCACGACAAGAGTAAACATGACAACGATAGGGACTCGAAAGCGTGCGGCGTGCGTTAGGTTTTTATTAAAGTTGTGTTTTGTTTGTGTTTTTTAATGTTAAATACGCAAGTTCTGAACCAAAAACCAACCATCTGGTTTTTGCACTGGCTTTCTAGAAAAACCCGATTTATTGTAAAGACGACAAGTCTGTCTCTTCCTTTTGGAAATCCAGTGGACCGGGGGTTGGGAATCTCATTCCAAGATTTTCCTTGCTGCAAAGGTAGGCTGAGGCTGACTGCTGTATAACCAGTGATGCCATTGCCCTGTGTAGGTAACCAAGGGAACCACCTTGTAAAAGCCAAAAGGATAGTGGCTACGGCGGCTACGGGTTCCCGACTTTTGAGGGTTTTGGGATGTGGATAGAACACTGTGTCCCTGCAAGCCAAGGTTGTCAGAATTCCGATCGAGCCGCCTCGATCAGAAGACTTCCTTGGTTCTCTATGTGGATTTGGGGGTCCTTGCCTTCCTTACCTTTGCTCTTGGGCTGAAACACTAGGGGAGTTGGAAGTGAAAAAGAAACCTAAGGAGTGTGCCTACCCCCCCCAAAAAAATAATAATGTGTTTTCGATTTGTTTGCCCTCATCAACCCTCAACAAGGTACCAGCCACGTAAAGTAATTACTTGGAACCAAGCGACGCAAACATCCGACGGCCAACGCAGGCGACGTCGGAGGGAAAGACCTTTCTCAAGTTGGCGGATGGCCGGGGCTGGGTGCGGCTCCAGCAGACCTACGACGGCGATGAGATGCCGCTCGCTTTTCCCCGAAGCGCAGAGAAACAAAAATCGGACGGGGGTCGGCGTCGCTTTTGTTGTTGCGAAGGGAGACCAAAAAGGAAGCGTAATTTCCATGTTGAGGGTTCCCCTAAAGACACACCCACTTAATTCCCTCAATATCATTGGGTTTCGGCCTTTGTTGGAGTGTGTGACCCATTTTCAGGAAGGAAAAGCATTTTGGGGCCCGCACTAAATCAAGCTTCCTTTCGTTTTGCAAAAAGAACTGGGGGGTGTCTTGTTTTGGAAGGGTGCCCTCATGTTTCGTGGTTTTCAAGGAAAGCCAAAAGCAAAATCACAATTTTGGCCGGGGCCGGGGGCTCACATAATTCCGATGATTGCAACTGATGTGTTTTGTCGGCCGAGATTTGCAAGAACGCATCAGTATGAATGAGACACCGGGAACCGGCCAAACTGCGGGTGTTCCTCTTGGTCAGCCCCTTGAAGCCAACGGGTCTCAAAATGGGGCACGTTGCTAGCAGAGTCCGCTTGGCAAGGTGTAATCCAGGCAACTCAATGTGTCCAGCGATTTCCCTGTACTGGCTTCAGGATTGTGACTCTTTCCGGGGGTTGTATATGAAAGTCAGAAAATGAAATTGCTGATTTCCCTTTCACCTGCCACTTTGATAGTAGCGACATAATGGGGCCAGGTGAGTATAAGCAACCAAGGGAGCCACCCAAGAACCAAACGGAAAGTGGTTCTCTTTTTCGGAATACGCGCTATCTGGCTTCGGAATCCCAAGGGATCCGACCCGCTCGCACTCCCGCGCTGAGGGATTCTCTGGAGAGGGTGTCCCCATGGGCAGAAGTGATGAGCGGAGCTGCGGAGGTGATGAAGAGGGCGGAAGGCCGGACCTCGCTTCTGAGAGTGTCTCTTTGGTTTGACCAAATCGCCCAAAAAGGAGAGACCTCTTGGACACACGCACTTGCACCAAGTGAATCTGACCTTTTTGATTCCTTGGTCCACGTTTGGTCAAGGGTTAACCTATGTCCAGGTCCTTTGGCCAAATTAGAAATAGCTTTTCCATTAAGGCTATACTCACCAAATGACCGTAACAAGAATGGGGGCCCACCAAATGTCCACGGGGACACGAAATGTTGACGGTGGCTCAGACTATGATCTTTCTTGTTACCTCCTTCTCAACACGGTGATTGGATCCGCCATAATGCACCCCACGAACAATCTGGTGCAGCTTTTTGCTTTAGGTTGGCTTGAAAGGGAAGCCAAAAGGAAAGCCGGCCATGTTGTGCTACCGCTAATTTGAGAAAGCTATAAAAAAAAACGTGTTTGAACTCAGCGAACCCCCCACCATATAGGCGATTCAGCGTCCAGTTTTGGGATTCCCCAATCAGGTTGGACCCCAAAATGGCTTCGGTTTTCCTTCCAAACCAAACAAAAGGGGCACCAACTCATTGGGAGTCTCCTTGGCGTCCCCTTTTGGAGACAGAGGAGCCCCATCCCACGAGGCCGTTCAAAACATGCGAGGCTTCGGCAACGGGACCCCGGTGGTCAGCAGAGAGGGCTGGGATGAGGAGCGCCTGAGGCGGACGATGGACTTTTTTTTGGGGGGGGGCAAAGGGATTTGGTGTGCTTGCATTTGCTTAAGAGTATGTGGGTTTTTCCCTTGTTGGCTTTAAAAGGAGTTAATCACTACTGGAAATATTTTCTTTCAGGGCTCTTAACCAAATGGAAGTGTGCCTTTGGTTGAGGAGAACGCGGGAGGGAGGCCTCACTGTTCTTGGCATGTGCTTAGCGGTTTTTTGCTTTTTGGGTTCTGTTCAATTTGTATGGGGCGGGGGGGAGCTTCAAAAGACAAGGGTTGCTTGCTGGCATACCAAGGGATTGAAGTGGAGAACTAAGTTCGGCATCAGTGATGGTTTCCCTAAACCACTGGCCCCAAACACACTTCCCCAAACGATTGGCCCCAAACCACTTGCAGCAACGCGCTGGCCCCAAACCACTTGTGGAACACTGATTATTTTTCTTCCATGCATGCGACTTGGAATCTCATTCAACAAATGGACAGGTTCTTCATACTTTGCTCCTCAGACCCAAGAGCGTTTGTTTGAGCAAATGGATAGGTATTTCATCCAGAGGGTCGCAAGTTGCTCGTCATTTCCCAGTGTGCTTTGCGGTAGGCTGGTCCTTTGATGTGGGGGGAAATCTTGTTTGTTGCAAAAGGCTGTTGTACATTCGGGTTTGTTCCCCACTGCGAAAGTAAGGGTGTTGTGCACTTGTGTATGCTGCTTTTTTTTTCCGGGAAAGCTACAGGGAAACCAAAGCTCATTTGAGAGCGCCATACCCAATTTGAATACGGGACCACTGGGTCATCATAGCATCACCTTTCCCGTGCCTTTTGGTATTTTGGGCTGTTAGGCAATCTGCAAGGTCCAGCCCCCTGGGTTACGCAAGTTGATATGGTCCTCTTTGCAGTGGCTTCCCCCTATAGGGGATTCTGGAAAATCGGATTTGCAAACCCAACCCATTTTGAACAGCTTAGGTGTTTCGTTGAGTTTCCCGCTTTTGGTGAGACTTTCCCCGCTTTCAACTCCACGTAGCTGCCGCATCGCGCTGTGCGCCAGGGCGCTCTGCGCCAGACACGGCTGGGAGTTCGAGTGGATGAGCGAGGACGGATCGATCAGTTATCCCAATAAGTGGGGGTTTGTTTGGGCATATCTATGTTTGGTGGGTGGGCGCAACCTGAGTTTGACGGATTCGATGTGCCGTTTTTCCCTAGCCAACCAGAAGACGGCCGCGCCCCCGTCGTCTCCAAAAGCCAGAAAGACGAGCAGCCGCCCGTTTCGCATGTTTCGCAGGACGGGGAGCGCCGGCGCCGCGGCGCCGAGCGCCAGAGTATGGCGGGGCGGCCGAGTCCGTTGGGCTCACGGGAAGCAACTTGGGACCGATGTTGTGTTGGTACCCAACTTTGTTTTTCCTCGCGCCTCAGTGTTTTTGTTTCTTTCTTTCAAGTTTTAATGGAAAGCTATGAACCCAGGCAAAGGCTGCAGGGCAAATGTGGGAATATATACAGCCATACAGCTCTATTATGCCCATGTCCCGTTGGAACCTCCGAACCATCAGGAAGCAGGGCAGGGAAGGCAGGGGGGTCAGGGTTTCCGAGCCATCCACCTTTGTTTGATTGAACCTCCAAAAGTGGCACTGGTTTCAAGGGAAGCCACCGGGGAAGTTGATCGACTTTCAGTTCCAGGAAATGCAGCAACCTCTTTTGAGTTGGTACCCCCTGTTTAGAGGAGAAGCAAAATTCAGGGGTCTCCTCAAAAACGCCATACCCACTTGGGGGCAGGCAGGGAATGACCCGCCACATGTTCCTTGTTTTATTCTTTCGGAGCCCCAAAATGGCGGGCTTTCCCAGAGCCACGGATGGACTGATTGTTGGGGTTGGGCCAAAGAAGTTCTCACCCACCAATGGTACGTCCCAAAGCCAGAGGGACGTTGGCCTTACGGTCACCTTTGCTGGTGAACCAAACTGAACCCTCCATTCTGGGCGGTTTCCTTTGAGATTTGTAGGTGTCTCTTTTTTTCAGGAAAAATGTAGTGCATGTGAACACGGCCCAACCACGCCCCAAACAACAAAATGGAGAACTGAGGCGAAACATGAAATCACAACATATCACCACAAGAGAAGCGAATGTGGAACACTCCCTCTTTTTCCAACTCCGACACCATTTGATTTCAACCCTTTATGAATTGCTCCCCGCCCTGCGAAAAAGAGGTCAGGCTTCAAAAAAGGGAGTCGTGGATGAACAGAGAGGACTCCACCATTTATAGTTAAGCATGCTATTTACCGCCTGATGGCTGCCCACTTCAAAGAGGCATGCAAAACTCGCAAAGGAAGCAAGGCTTGAGCAAAATGGCAATCCTGGGACGGTAGGTGTCCTTGATAGTCCATATCCGGGTGTCATACAAACAATGTGCAAAGGACGAGCAAACAAACGAAAACAGAGAACCAAACGGCATGTCACGTCCAAAATCATGATCGAAGTCCGCTACGAGGTTTCATTTCACCCGTGTCCTTTTGGATGCCACTGGCATAGGCTGCGGGTCGGGTTTTTCTTCTTGAAGCTCCAACCGGCACCTTTTTCAGGTCCAAACATGTGACCCTAACCAGGTCCATACTATGACTACCCCGTAAGTCCAAACGAGAGGGCCATTTTGGATATCCGGTATCAGGGTATGTGTGTGTGTGTCTTTTTGATTCGATGGAGCCTTTTTGTTGTGGCTTTTAAAGGGCAGAGGAACACCGAAATCCATTTTGGGGTGTCCAAATCCGGACAAAAAAGGAAACAAAACACGAGACACCCAACCCCTGGAACATGTTCTGGGCCAACCCCCCCTCCCCCGAGCGCGAGCCGACCGTCTGAGGTCGCCCTGCCGGCCGTGAGCGGCACCTCTGACACCCATTGCCGGCAGCTCAGACTCTCAGACATCCGGGGGATGCTTTTCCACAAGTGGCACAGCGGCTGGTTTGAAGCGAACCGACAGGAAAAGAAGTTGGATCGGCTCGTGGAAAATGGTGGCATTTAGGATTTTGGGTTATTTTCTGTGGAATCCCGTTGAAAGTTGATGTTGGGGAATGACCCATTTTGGAATCACAGCAAAAAGAAAACGCTTGGGGGACCAAATTTTTGATGGTGACCCAAAAGACACCAACCAGTTTGGGACAAGTTGAGCGCTCAAGATCAATCCATAAGATCCTGCCAGACAGCGGGATCGATCTGGGACCCCAAACACCTAGCAAAGGAACTACCATATTTGGGGCTTGCCTTTGAGGCAAGCTAAATCGCGTGGGGGTTGATCAATATGCCATCTAGGGCTCAAACATGACCATGGGTAACTTTTCCCATGGGGTGAAAGTCTCATTTTTGTTTTGGTGGTTTTCCTAATGGTCACCCTATGTTTCAAGGACCTGTTGGTCAACTCCGATGGGCATCCTTTCTCCGCGGCTTTGCGGAGAAACGGTTCAAGAGGCACAGAAAAGGGCACCTGGAGCGGGACATTGGAACTCCTGCGCTTAAGAAATATCCACACGTTGCAGGGGGTCCTGTTACTTCGGCAGATATGCCCCCCTTCTTGAAGCATCTACTTCAATGCTTGTCTGTCCTAAGATTCCCGACTACAGGTGTTTGTTCGAGGTTATAGTTTGTTTTCGAAATAGACGGGTTGCACTTGTGTTGATGAGGTGTATGCCCCATTTACCAGGGACACCCATCTATGTTTCCAAAAGATCACCAATGTTCATGACCCCTCCAATGACTCCGATTGCGAAGCCCGTTTTCCTGCCCTTACACAAGCAGCAAAAACAATCGAGAACCGTTCTCGGCCGTTTGTTGGTTGCTCCAACCCTCAAAACATGGCCAAACAGCACAAGTAGAAGAATCCGTGCAAAGCAATGATCAAACTAATCAATGTCAAGTAGAAGTTTTGTGTCGATTCGAAGCATCAAACTTCTACTTGTGTGACAATGGTGTCTTTAGAGGCCCCATGATGAGGGACGTGGATATACATCAACCCTCAAACGCCATACCCTTCATTTTTGGACTTTCGTTTGGGGAAAGACCCTATCAGGGAAGGACAACCGAAGGGAAACCAACAAGAAGATGAGGTCCCCCTTTTTCCAATTTTGTCCCATTTTTCCATGATTTTTTCCATTGTTTTCCTTTGTTGTCCCCATTTTCCACTTTTTCCCCATGTTTCCCTCTTTTGTTCGATTCATCGACATCCAAGTTGTGTTTCCCCCTCGCATCCACTCGTGAAGCCGCGAAGCCTAGGCCCCGATGGCTTTCAGCCCAAGACGAACAAGGAGACGAATCGACCGATGGTGTCACTTTCCGGTGGCTTTCACCCTTTGGTCCCATGTGGCCGTGTTTTTGATTCGGTTGGCCCTCACCCCCCCCACTCCCCGCCCCAACAAGCCGTGCTTTGTTCCTTGTGGTGTCCCTTTAAACAACAACCAAAAAAGGGTACCCGGAAAAGAGAGACACACCATGTGTGTGCTGTGGATGGTCCCACTTGTTCCGGTTGTTTGTCCCTGAATCCCGTTGTTTTTGACCTTTGCCTGGGATGCTTGGTACACATAGTCGCTTGACCCCCCTTTTGCAGCTTTTGCCAAGCCCTCCGCCACATCACAACTCCAACGTTAAAAATCTATGGCCGTGTTGACGGAGATCCCAGCTCTGAGACAACGACGCAGTGTTCGAGCCGCATGCGGCCACGGAATCCAATGGACCTGAGTTCACTGGGAACAACGAGACCCGTTTGTGGCCCTTGGACGAAAATGAGAACAATAAAAGCGTCTCCCAGTTGCCTTCCAGGGGATTTTCGGCATTGTCCCCCAGACACAAGTGGAAGAGGACTTGACCCCCGGAGGGCTGACACGCAACATCCACGCAAGTGTAAGGGTAAATAAAACAAAGGCGACATGGGCACGCCGCGCAGCTCGGACATCGACCCCGGTGGGCTTGCTTGCGTGCGAGCTTGCGTGTGCAACTTCTCCTGTGTGAGATGTGTCCTGTCTCTGTCTGCGTCTATTTGCGTGTGTTTTCGTCTGGTGTGTCTGTGTGTCTGTGTGTCTGTGTCTGTCTGTCTGTCTGTCTGTCTGTCTGTCTGTCTGTCTGTCTGTCTGTCTGTCTGTCTGTCTGTCTGTCTGTCTGTCTGTCTGTCTGTCTGTGTGTGTGTGTGTGTGTGTGTGTGTGTGTGTGTGTGTGTGTGTGTGTGTGTGTGTGTGTGTGTGTGTGTGTGTGTGTGTGTGTGTGTGTGTGTGTGTGTGTGTGTGTGTGTGTTTGTGTGTGTGTGATTGTGTCAAAGGGGAAACCAAATTGAAGCTGAAGCCCGGCTCCCCATCTTAACGTCCGAGTGGAAACCAAGAGGAAACCACTGATTTTAAGGGGTTACCGTGTTGCTTTGTTTTTTTGAACATAGCCATTTACAGAAAGCCTGGTTGCGATTTCCTTTGCGCGCGAAGAACTTCCCCCAGCCGCGCCCCAAAGCTTCCGAGAAGAAATCTTCTGCGGTGTTCTTGGTGCGAAAAGCGGATTTGGATGTCCTACCGCAACCCTGAAGTTCTTGGGTCAGTGGGCCCAAGACTGCCGGCGTTTTTTTCTTCTTCTTTATTTTTCTGCGAGGAGAAGTCGAACGGAACTGCGTGACACTCTGGCGATTTCGCCGGGCAGGAGACACCATGGGGTTCCATCAAATTTACTCCTTCCATTTGATAAAGAGTTCACCTGTTGATTTTAGAGGGAATCTAGAATCTAGCACTGCTGGACATATTGTTCCAGACTTGAGCAACTGGAAGCATGTCCTGTAGTCAGTCCATTTGTGAGGAGCGGGGAACTTCCCACAAAACCAAGGGGCGAAAGCTAATAATTGTAGGGAAAACCATCGGATGGGCCAAGGCCCATTGGTCTGGTTCTCCTAAAATGGTGGCTCTGTTTCCTTGTAAACCACCGCAAGAAGTCAGCCTGAAAACACACAGCCCCCAGAATTGAGAGTCGGACAGCATGTTCTTGAAGGAATCGGAGTTGCAATCGGTTAAAGACCGAGCGCCTTATGAGTGACTGCCTCAACTTCTGCGCGCGCTTCAGGCGTGTTTCGCCTCGCGCATCGCGCGATGTACTTTGAAGCCAACGGCATGCTTAGCCCGTGGATATGAGCGGGCTGCAGTTCCCAGCTGTGCAACGTCAACCCAATCGCTTCTATTGCGGAACCACCCAGAAAGAATCGCAAGAATGTTACTGTGTTTTTCCCAAATAGTTTTACTTTTTGAGGTGCACTAAATAGCATCATGTTCCAGTATATTTTTCCACGGGGGTAGAAAGCTGAGTACCTTAAGCTGCCCCAAAAGGAGGGTCTTCCCATTCCGTTTGTTGCACGATTTTCGATTCTGCGATTTCAGCCATTCTCCGAGCAAACATGACTCGATAAGGGAAGTCATGACGTTGCCAGACTTGGCTTAGCTCAAAGGCTGATTGTATAGGTCCAAGCAATGTGTCCCCAAGGACAATTGTCCGCTTCCCTTCTTATCAGGTCTTATCAAAGCAACCTGAAAAGAGCACGCAGAAGGCACACCCCAAATATATCCGCGGGCTCACAGATTCCGAGCTCCGCCAACCGGGCGGGCCAAAACGGGCGTGCCAAAACGGACGCCCCGAGCGGAAGGCGGGAAAGAATCTATCCGTTTGAGCCTCCTGAAAGCCCCGGTAGATGAAGACTAAGCGCCAGTCCCAGCCAAAAATAGGCGTGAAGATCGGAATAGACAGTTTCCTCTCATATATTGGGCAGACCCAGATTTTGACTGCGACTCCCTTTTGGTCAACAAATTGAATCGACCCCTTTCCGTGTTTTGGGGGAGCCGACTCTTTGTTTTGTTTCTTCTTCTTAAATAATGTGTTTGTTTAATCAAGAGTGACATGTGTTTTGTATTTTGGTAATTTTTCCAGACCTATTTAACACCCAGGTTTTGGGAAGCCAAAAGGAAACCCGAGTGCCATGTTCGAGGTCCCCTCCCACCTTCCGCTCGAGGCTCAGGGTGGCGGAAGCTTGACGGGGCGTGTCCCTGCACATTCGCAGGCTGTTCCACTTTTTGGGACGGCGGGTGTTACCGGCCAAAGAAAGCGGATCTGGCCAAAAAGGGTCTTAAATTTATGGGACCCCTTTATTTAAGCCCACAAAGGCTACCCTCACAAAAAACGCAAAACCGGTCATCCCCCGCATTTCGTTTTGCGAACAAGTCGGCCGTTGCCTTAAACCAAAAAGTTGCAGTTGCAGAACTGCGGACCGGGTCGGACACGGCACAAGCCGTGCGTACCGGCAACCGCGGCCTGGCGAAGCCAGGCTTCGTTTCATCGTCTGGCAAGATGCCAGTCTCCTGACACCGGAAGAGAGGTCTATTGCGAAACAAAAAGCCGGTGGTGACCGCCTCAATGGGGCCCTTGATCCCGGGTGCAGAGCGTGGCAAAGACCCCATGAGCATCGAGGAACGAAGGGTACGCCAATGGGGTGTGTCTTTTGGGGAAATTCCACAAGTCTCTGGTGTCCTTTGGGCTCCTGAGAAACCAACCTAAAACGGTATCCACTCCAAAGTAGGACGAGCTGCATCCAATTGGTGGTTGGTCCTTGTTCATAAATGGGACCCACCGGGCTGCAAACCAACGGATCTCAGGGCTGAACCAATGCTTGAATTGAGCATCCATTTTGGAGTAGAGAAGGCCAGGCCCCTGAAAAGGGAGCCTCTAAAGTTTGAGGAAGGCTGAGATTTCAGCTTTTCTTCCAGGATGTCTCAGCTTCACCCCCCCCCACGTTTTTCTTGGCAGGCCGCAGGCCGTGTGCTCGTTGCGTAGCGGAAAACAACACAGAAACCCGACCTGGTGGCGAAGAAAAGCCATTTGTCATCAATCACTTTGGCATTCCAGGACCCCTTCCCGTTACCTCTGCCCGCGAGGAGGGGTTCTTTGGTTTGGTTCTTGGTGATGGATCAGGCATAGGATGGCCGTGTTCCAAGAAGAATTGAGCAAAAGTAGAGGTTTCCAAGCACCACGGGCCGTTGGATGATTCAATGACGTTGGATGATTGAATGCCGTTGGATGATTGAATGCCGTTGGAGGATCAGGAAGAAAGAATTTCAAAGGCCAGGATCCTGGATTTTGATATGCGCCTGTTTGACTAGGGTCTGTCGCGCATCGTTCGTGTTTCTGTTGAGAGCTGCCTGGGGTGTGGCGTGTGCCACACGAGTTTGATCCGTTTTTCGCGGCGTTCGAAGAGGGACCACAGCAGTTGCAGCCAGGTGATAGATTCAGGTATATCGGGCTGGAACCTTAGGCTGGAAACAAAGACTCACTCATTTGGTGTTTGCTTTTGAGGGAGCCTTTTTGAATTGAGTTAAGTGAATTAGAAGAACAAAGAAAAACAACATGACGTCATCGTGTTTGGGGGTCCGCTTCCAACTTCGAGACAGGGCATTGGGCTTAGTTTCCGCAAGCTCGGATGGGCTTCGGAACTCGGTGTTTTTCCGCATGTTTTCTCGTCTGAGGCTGCCAGCCCAGGCCGATTCCGGGTGGGCCTGGGTACGATATGAAGCATCCCCTTGGCCAACAAATGGCCTGGTTCCCGTGAAGTATGGGAACTGGAAGCATGCTCAAGTTGGGGGCAATCTCTGGGGACGGCAGGTTCACGAGCCCTTGGGGGGAATCTCTGAGGTTCACGAGCCGAAGCAAACGGAGCTTTACTCTTCTTGCTTACCTAGGCCCCTGAGCAGTGCCCTTTTACCCTTTTTTGGGGAGGGTTCCCCTACTAAAATAGACTACAGAAAAAAGGGTAGCCTTATTCTAACCTCTCTACTGGAGGACCTAGCTACTTAGTCTTACGGGATTCCTTAGTTCCATGAGTTTCTTGCAACCCCACTTGGCGGCCTTCCTTTTGGCTTCCCTTCTCCCTCCAACGAGTTTTTGGTGGAGCCAAGAGGATCCCACCGCTGGTTGCGTGGCTTCCGATTCCCTTTGCAGCAGGCCAACGGTTTGCCCTGGACCGGTAATTTTCAGTGGTGCCTGGTAATTTGAACTGCTTACTAGCGTGGCAACTGGCAAACAAGTGGAATTTCCCGACAAGTTTGACCCCATTGTGTTTCAAACCATCTCCCACCTTGGTTGCTTGTGCGGTTTGTCCGTGGCAGATGGGCATGTGTTCAAAGTAGGGTTTTGGACTTAAAAGCCCCGGTTTCCCTCTTAAACCAACCTGCAAAAGGGTACCAGATCTTTAGATCTTTGGAGCTCCACATTTTGTTTTGGGTGACAAGAGGGAGCTCCAAGTCACAGCCCACTTGGCTTGACTCTTTGGTGAAAGCCTTGCCAATTGGTCATTCTGCCTGTTGCCAAGAGCTGACAGCTTGATGGCGACAGGCTTTTCCTTCGCAAAAGGCAAACTGGGAGGGCCACTCCACCAGAAGCCCCAAGCTGCAACATGGCCCTGATCAAAACTATGTGGGTGTGCCTTTTTCGAGTCCCTTTTTCGGTTGCCTCCGGAACCACCATTCCGGGGAGGGGGGGTCCCCTAAAAATAGACACACCCATTTGTAGTTCCCTATGACTTCTCGTCGGCATTGCCAAACTCAGCTTTGCTGTCTTCCCTTGTCCTCTTAAAGCCAACCTGGGTATCATATCATTGCCGAGCCTCATGCTTAAGGGTCCTTTGCAAGGCTCTATGTGTTTGACTTCCCGGTAGACTTCAAACCAGGGTCTCTCCCATGGGAAAATGGACCAGCCCTGAATATTTGCGCCCACCTTAGAGCAACTCAACATGGAGCCTTGGACCGCAAGCATCCGATCCCAAGCGACCCTTCAACTGGTTGGTCCCGTTTGCTTTGGTTTCTCGAGTCCTTTTGGCACAGAAGCCAAACCGACAAAACATCCAATAGCCTGGAAGTTCTCAGCACTGGCATCCGGAAATCCTGGAAAGCCGGGGTAAACCACCTACTTGGTTGTTCCACCAATTTTGTAGGTTTACAACCACGGTTCTAACTTGGGGAACTGAGGTTGGTTCCCTTACCGTGGTTACCTAAGTCGGTCTGAAGATCCAAGTGACTGCAACGTGGATTTGTTTGTACATGGGTCCATCCCCAGGCGCACGCTTCTTGCTACAAGAGGAGGCTGGGCGTGCGAGGGCGTCATGCTTTGGGGATTGGAGCGTTCTTTCGATTCTTAGGATCAAGCGACATATGGGTGCGTCGTGGATGACGTTTGTACCCTCTCTTTTTTGTGTGTCTTGTTTTAAGGGAAACGAAAAGGCCCCGAATAGACGGCGTCAACCCCCACCTCCCCCAGGAGATGGCGGGACACGGCCTCTTGGGCGAGTTTCAAAGGAACCAGGAAGCCACCCAAATGTTGGGTTCTGTTTGGTTTCTCACACGGAAATGATGGAAGCGTCGTACGCCCAGGTCGCCAAGAACGTCTGTGGGAGACCAAAGTCTTTGAAGACTCTATGCCCTGGAAGTGGTGCATTTTTTCCGGCCCAAACCACAGTCAGGCTAACACTACGCATACTTTTTGAAGTGTAACCTTGGAGGTTCAGGTGAAAGTGGCACCTGCTTTCCGAATTGTGCTCTGTATGGTTTTGACAGGTAGCCAGCTTCTACCTCAATTGAATGTGCTGATTG